GGAATAAAACAGAAGGAACTGAAACGTTAGCCATTGTTTTAACCCAAACAGTCGCCATGGCAGATACAGGAGGATGCTCTGACAGAGAGACGTGTCTCTGAGAGCGGATTGGGCGACTACTGAGCCAATCAGAATAAAGAACCACGTGCTCTCTGGGACGTGTAGTTTTTGAGATGTTAAGCCAACTTTGCTATTTACAGTTTTTTACTTCTTAATATTTACAGTGTTTGACAGTATATTCTAATACAAAACACGCTACATAGTCAGAACATTTAATGAGTAAATATTTAACACTAAATATAAAATTCCGATTATAACTTTGCATTCATTATCTACATTCACAATCTTTTGTTGGATTTAATAAGAAAACACAGTGATACACTGTGTTTTGCAATAAAGGATCACTGACATACATTTACACTTGAACTAAACTACATAAAATACTGTTATTGTGTGTGATAATCCTTGCTTTCTATGATTTTCTTTAAATTTTAGGTTCTGTGCCTACTCAATTTTACTATAAGAGAATACCATTGGTGATGTTATACTGTAGTTATCTAGCATATTGATAGTGGGGTAGTTGAGGTAGTTTCATAGTGGTGTTAAACTAGGAGAGGCCTAAGTGTGAATAGCATGCTCCAGTGAGAACCATTAATGAATAAATAATTAAATACCTTAATTACAACAACATCGAGATGACCCAAGTTGCCTTTTCATCTGATTTTTGAGACCCTTAGTAAGGTTGGCTAATTTTCAGTTAATGGTTTCCAGAAGTCAGCCTGTGCTGTTGTCAACATCTTTTCGGTTTTACTTCAGTTTAATGTCTTACACTTCAATGGTGAAAGTGTTTCATTCTGAGAACAAATGACCAAGTTAAACTTTCTTCTTAATTAAGATACTGTTCTCTGAAGCCAGCCGTGCAGTTTATCAAGAGTAAATGATATGATATTTGGACCAAGGACTGCCGAGTAGATAGAATTAATTAAATGGGACAAATGATTTATGTCAAACCACTGGAGTGACTTGTCTTTTTTGTCTCTTCATGAAATTAAAGTCTTCACTCTCAGGACAATGGTTTCTAATTGCTTCATTATTTGAGTCTGTATACAATAGGGAAATTTTGTGTTCTGCAAAATGCTTTCAGTCAATTTTTAAATTGGATGCAGAACGAGGAGGGAGGTAAAACCCCAACTGCATCTGTAACCTGCAAAAATAAGATGGTCAAGTGTTTTGCAAATGCATTTGTAGACACTACAGTATAAAATATGAAGAGTGGAGTGTTTGGGGTGGGACTTGGTTCTCAACCTTTTTTTAGCTTATAACCCCATTTTGACATATCACAATTATCTGGCGACCCCACAGACATTTTACCAGCTGTTGCTCGTGCAGTCACATGATCATAGACATTGGAAAAAGTACATAGTATTGAATGACAAAACATTATAATAAGTTGTAAATAAACCCTCTTTTAAGCGATAAACCCTACTTACAAGCACAAGTGCATATGCACACATACTGCAAAGCGGGGGGAAAAAATAGGCTTATTAAAACCAATGTGCCGTGAAACAATCAGTTAGCTTTGCAGTCTTGTTAAACCACAGCTCATTCAGTCATTGAGTCATTTACAGATTTTTTTAGATGTGGACTTTTCTGTAGGGACTGCTATTCATTCTTATTTATTAATAACTCTAATTATAAATTACCCTGTTTAATCATCAAAAATTTAGGTTTATGTATAAGTAATTTGGATGTAAATTGTGGAAGATAACACAGAGCTAACCAGTGCTAATGCTATCTTAGTGCTATTTCTGCACTAGTGGTAACTCGTTTCTATTATCGCGCTGTTATTTTCTTTAACTGACAGATATTTTATTTAGAAGTATTTTATATATATACATTTATGAACAGTAAAAAAAATGTATATATATATTTTTTACCTTAAAGTCACTCCAATCTCAATTTGTTTTGAAGTTTTGGACATTTAGGAGATTTGGACAGACTTCCGGACAAATTTTTACCTAGGACTTTTCCAGTGCCACATTGGAATGTTCTTTTGTTCTCTCTCTCTCCTGACTTTTTCTCTCTGTATTTAGCAAACTGCACTCTAGATTTGGACTGAAAAATAAACCTTTTATCTGTTCAGAAGCGTGTGGAGAAAAGCAGAGAAAAGAGAAATGCTGAAGAATATGAAAAATAATTTGAAAGGCAGTTTTTGCCGGTCCTCACCTGCACCCAGGTTTGGATAGTAGATGGCAGTTTAACACATAGTTAGAGAAGAGCTATAGTGACAACCATAAGCCCATTAAATATCCCAATGGAACCGTTGTGTCACATAATAAATTCGTGTGCCCTTTCGTTCAGAACACCACAGTCACTAAGACACGTTCCCTGCTCTTTCATTAACAGTCGGACAAAATACGTCAAAGGCATTAGTGACCAGGAATTAGTGAGTGTTTGCATATTTGATTTATGCTTAACTCGGCACACATCACACATTTGACATCGTGCCAATGAGAGGCTACACAGATGGGGTAGGGAGGAGGCAGAAAAAAGAGGATATGAGGTGAATGGAAAAAGGTGACGCCATTTCCAGCTGACATTGAACATATCACTCAGCTACTTGATTAGAATAGAATTGCCAGATAATGGTTTGATGACGGTGCAAAGTTTATAGTGAAAAAGAAGAGTCGGATGATCACTTATGTACATACATACATAAACACCCACATACAGTATATACAAAAATATATAAACACGTACACATGTGTGTGTTATAAGTAGGAAGTAGCATATGAATCATTATGTTGTGTGTGGACTCATTTCCTGCCTAGAAAATGACTCTAGTCCTGCAGCAACATGGTATGGTAATTTCTGTATGGCCAGCAGAAACACAGGCTAGGTGTAATTTTTACAACAGACAGTGCTACTAACCGTTCCCTTATTGGCTGATTTTTCAGGATAAGAGAAAAGAACATTAGCAACATGTTTTCTTTTTAAGGGCTGATAAATTATTGATGCCGCATCTTAAGTTCAGTGGAACCTGCCCTCTGACTGTTCTTTGTTTGGAAAGCTGTACTTATAAAAGCGTGATGCACTTTTTGAAGAAACCACTTTGCCTTCAGCTATGCTGAAAAAAAAAAAGATCTCAGGTCCAAAAGTGCCACATAGAACTTCCTCGAGACTACTTTTTATGTTTTTTTAACACTACCCACATTTCTTTCCCAGTTTGTCACCTTACTATGTTCCCTTTCCTCTTTCAGCCATCCTCCTTTATCACATTTTCTTATGTCATCACCCCCTTCACAAACACTTCTCTGCTGAATTTTTCTCTTCTCTACCTCTCTGTTACCTCTCCTGTCACAGCTTCACCTTTGCTCCTTCTTTTCAACCACCCTCGCGGTCCCATTCCTCTTCTGATCACTTCTGAAAATCGTATTTCTTCCAGCAGCCGCTTTCTCCTCTTGTCAACATACTTCCCCTCAACCTTTGCTTTCCCTCCACTCACGCTGCTCCTGCCCATCGTTGCTCCTGTATTTAAATGTCCGTCCACTGACTTTTCTCTCATCAATTTCCTTCTCTACTTCACTCAAAAGTGCACGACAAATGACGAATAGGTCAGATCTTTGAAGGAAACCGTCTACAGAACTGAAGAAAAGAGAGGAATGGGATAAAGAAAGAAAGAAAATTGTGAAATTTCAGTACATCAATATATTCACAGACTGTATATCAGTTAATAATTTTATACTTTACTGCAGAAGGCTACAAATGCGTCAGCAGAAGTGTACAACTGTCTGTACACACACACAGAAAGAAAGGGAGAGAGAGAGAGAGAGAGAGAGACGGCAGCATCCCCAGACTTTCTGCAACACCCCCTGCATCTAAATCTTCCCTGTCTTTAGTGGCAAAGCAACATTTGCGATTCATCTACTTGATTAGACACACCCCCCCCCCCCCCCTTCACCCCACTCCTCCTCCCCGCCTCTCACCCCACCATCCCACCTCTCTTCCACCATCCAACACAACTACGACAATTTCCCTTCGACCTCTCGGTCTCGTTCAGAAACACACTCAGGAACACACCGGTTCATCAGTCAGTGGACAATATCCTGCATAGACCGTCCTTCATTCTCCCCTCTTCCCAACTCTGGCAGCTGTTGTTATCATTACAGGCTCTCGCTCTCTCCCTTTCTCTCTCACTCCTTCACCCTCCATCCCTCCCTCCCACTCTCCCTCTCTCTCTCTCCCTCTCTCTCTCCTCCTGGTATCTCTGGCGATTTGCCGCATGGAACTCGCCCAGGCAAGGCAGAGCATCAGCTGTCTGATCTGGACTCCTCTCCAGTTGCCGACCACTGCTCAACACTCACACGCAGCAGACACGCGCTCACCTTTACTGGGACTCAATGGGATTTAACGAAAATGTTCGCCTCACGACCTGAAAGACAATAGTGCGCCTATGCTGGAGCTTGACACATTCACAACGATAGGCTGTTTCTATTTGCCTTTCCTGTTTTCTTTTTTCCCTCTTTTGTTTCTGCACTCAGCGGACGAACCTGGGACCGGAGGTAGCTGCAGGGGGACTTTACTGGCATGGAGTCCTTATTTTGCCAAGCGACCCGCAGGGAGTCATAAAACAGAGAAACCAATCGCCTTGGTAGAATATTAATGACCCAGTCTTGACAGTAATCCAGGAGATGTTGCAGCAGAGTTTGAGAGCCTAGAGTGCATCCCAACTTTTTGGTCGCCGATTCAGAGCTCATGCTCTCAAACACGTTACAGACTTCTTCTGTCATGACTGATTTGCCCTATTTCACGACCTGTCATGGACAAGTCAACGTCTTTGGTTGTTGAGGAGCAATTTAAGGTAAGATGCACTCCGGCTGATGGTGCGCACTTGGTCACGCAGAGAGTTGTGTATCCTGCTGGATGGACGGATGGATTGATGGCGGGTTGGAGAGAAGGTTAGATGGATGGATGCACAGCCTTAACATGAGACCTGTTGTGATACTGAGGGTGAGTGATTGCTGGTTAGATCCGCAGCAATGTCTAAGACGTAAAGCCGGCTGGGTTGCCATTTAGACTAGTTGGCAAAGACGCAGTAACAGAGGGGCTGCCTCTGAAGCTGGAGTCCCCACATCAACATCTCCTTTAAATCCGCACTCTTTTTGTGTTGGTGAGGGAATAATGAGACGGAGCGCTTCACTGTCAGTATTTGGTGCGTGCGGCGAATTTCAATATGTTTTTCTCGGTTGTAGCAGAGAGCTGTTGTGAGTAGGACATCCACAGTGCTAAGAGTCCACGTAGAAAAATCCAAATAAAAGAAGGAAGTAGACCGTAAGATAGAAGAGAAAGACATCATCTATATCATCATCTCACTTTCTCTGTCTGTTTCTCTCACTTCCTTTACCTCCCTTCCTCCCAATCACACACTTCATTCTTATCCATCTTTTTTCTTTTTTTTATTGCAAGAGCAGATTAAATAAAACTGGATGAAGTCGTGTTTTAAAAACCACTGACAGCAGTTTAGATTGTGGGAATAATAACAATGTATAATTAGAAGTAAAATAATGTGATGGGAGCACATTTGTGAAACAGATAAAGCAGATCCAACAGGATCACAGGACAATGTGTGTTTCAGAAAACGAATGATGTACAGACAGGTAAACAGGTGACAGTGTTTCTTTTTACTGCTTAAAATAAATAGTGTTTTTTAACCAGCAAATCAATTTAGTTCGTTGTAAATTTACAGTAGTATTTTAGGAGACATTTATATGATAAAGTTGTCAAATTAAATCGTTTAACACTGTACTGATGCAGTGCAGCAAACAGATATTCGCCTGACTGAGTGATTTGGAGTTCAGTGATGGGGAAAAAAAAAACCCAAAACAACTTCCTGCCTCAAAGCGTCTTTTTCTTGATTGGCTTTTTTTTTTTTTTTTTTGTCACAGTTATGCAGTTCTACATATAACCACAACCCATCTTATCACCAAATAAGTTCACATTTTTGGTTTAAAATATTGGTGATTAAAAGTCATTGGAGTACATATGGCAGATTAGTACTACAAATACTACATGTTGTATTACATTATTAAATAATAATAGGATACACGTTGGTTACTATTAGCTTAGATGTCAGACATTTTGGTAACGTTATAACCTTGTGTGGTGGATGAATCACCTTTTTTTTTTTTTTTAGCTAAACCTCCTGGTGTCTAACTGTGTCGGAGTAGACAACAGGGTGGTTGATAATTCCAAAAATGTGTTGCATAGGAAGGATAGACGTGTTTTCATTTTGATCTGTGCTCCAGTGATATACAGCATAGCTTTATACACATTATTAATATTAGGATAAGCATGTTGACTGGATAGTCACCTTTAGCAGAGCCAAGTCAACTGTTATTTCACTAATAATTTATGATGATATTCCCTAATTGTAAGTATACGTATGTGTGTGTGTGTGTGTGTGTGCCCATGTGTGTGTGACATATAGGAACTCAATCTCAGGTTAGTCGTGAAGGTTAGATGAGAAGGGTAAAGAGTACATTTTTCATTTCGTTACTTCATGGCGTTGCTAAGTGTTTCCCTTGTTCATATTTCCTTTGACCAGAAAGATAAACCTTTTTGAAGGCTCAGTTCCAGGAAATGTTCTGACTGCTTTTACTGCTGAAGACAATTCTATCTGAGAACCCAAGTCGTTGAAATCACTTCTTGCATCGTTAAATTTTTTCCTGAAGTCACGGGAGATTTTTTTTTTCATAAATACACTGTATTTTCCACATTTACTTTTTTTTGTTGATTTGTTTTTATTTGTTTTAGCAAAGCAGCATGTTTTCCATGTTCTACTTCTTTCTTCTGATGCTCACTTGTTAGCCATGTACAAAGTGCTAACTGGTATACAAAATTTGTGTAAAATTCTTTGTAATCTCTATGTATATACTTTTTTTTTCTTTGCACACATTTACTACAATTTAGAACAATGTACACACACACACACATAAACTGGGAAAGAGACATACAGAGAGTGGGAGAGAGCGAGAGTGAAAGGCTAACCTTCACTGGATTGGATTGCCGCGTGCACTTATGCCTCAAATTCAAAGAGCAATCGCAGGAAATGAACAACAAACATGGGGATATTGAGGAGAAACTGCATTATATCAAATACACAAGTAATGTGTGTGAGTATGAGTATGTGTGTACCGCTGTCCGCGTGTATGTGCGCTGTGTGTTTGTGCATTAAATCAGTGCAGGTTTCAATATCAGTGGAGCAGTTTAAGTGCTATTGATCTTTAGTAATAGCTGTGCCATAAATTACATGCTGTATAAAGGCAGTTGTATTGAATGTGACCCCTGGATCAGAAGCATTCAATTTGTTACAGCTGAAGGTATTAGAAAACCAATGACGAGTTAAGTTCTGCTCGGTTTAAAATGTATCTTCATTTTATCATAACAATTTCTTTTAATTTTATTCCAACAGGCACCATTAAAAAAGAGACAAAATTAACTCACACAAACACTAATTTGGAAATCTAAAACCTGTCATTTTGTTTCAAACAGAATGACAGACATTATTAATTGTTGAGCACATTTCTAGATAAATATGGCTCATGGCTCCTGCACCAATCGTTGATTTATTTTATTGTGGAATACATTTTGCTCCAGTCCTGTTTATCGAGTCTGCTAGTGTGACAGCAGCGCATTAGAAAAAAGTGGGCACCTGACGTTGACTAAAGAATTTAACATTCCTTTTAAAGCACTTCCAAACATTTAGATGTGTACTTACCTCACTTGTAAACTGCAGTCCAAGTGCTCAGATGCATTAAGATTGCTGAGGGTGACATAACATTTACAACGGCGCCTCCTCTGGGTGACAACTGTCTCACCGATGTGTAGTGTATTGTAGCAGTCTTTTCACAGCTTTGCAGCAGACCCCCTCTCCCCCCGTGCCTCAACACTATTTAAAATATGTGAAAAAGTGCGAGACTAAACATCATGGAACTAAACTCCCTCCTAAGGGCGGCACAAATTATTTCTCGTTATCCGGCCAAATTAGATAAGAACTTTTTTGTTTGTCGATTTTGTTTAGTCTTTCACTGGCGCAGTTGCTACTTAAGTAAACTGCAGTTCTATGATGCAATTATCATTCCTTTCACGGGCACAATAATAAAACTATAGCTGATCGCAACAGGATGCAAACAAATAAACTGCGCTTCACAAGTGCTGAGTGTGCATTAAGGCTGCTGTGGGTCGGATCAGATGTCCACTTGTGTATTTAAAGGAGTAGCGCCGGCATACATCTGATATCGCCACTGTATCTGATATCTCCACTTTTTGCCAATATTAAGTGTCCTAGGTCAGTCGTTAACGCTGATCTCTTGATCAGCTGGATCAAGAGATCTGGAGAGGAAGATAAGAAAAAAAAGGCAAAGACAGTTGCATTAACACCTAGGTGGTTGCTGTAAGTTCATATGCTATTGGCCTCGCTGTGGCTAAGGATGGATGGCTGTCTGTGTCTGCTCATCTAATAGAAACTTTGCTGCATTGATTGGTTAATGTATTGCCTTCAATATATATTATCTGCACATAGCATTTAATATACTGGCGATCAATATATCATAATGTTTATATATGTTCACCTTATAATTTTACAATATCCTCAAACATTTTCCTTTTTTTTTGCTACAGTAACATTACACACATGTCACTGATGTTGACATTTATCATATCATTCATGAACAGCCTTTATCCTCATAACTGCTGCAAAGCAGCATGGACTTGGCTGGACAGTAGTGACATTCAAACACTTCTATGTACTACACGCACACATGTACTTCTACTGCAGTGCAAATACTATTACATGAGGAACTGGCCTTATTGTTTACTACACTGTGGACCTTAACTGTATCTCTGCACGGATGGTGTATAACAATCTTTCTGTCTTTTTTGTGTTAACAGCATCATATCATTTCATTACTTGCTGCTCTGGCCCAACCATTCCTCTGTTAGCTTCAGGGTGTGTGTGGAGGGTGCATACTGTATGGATATTTTTTCTCTGTGTACAGAAGTATACAAGGTACTTTTAAAAAATCGACCATCCATGTAATATTAGCTGCAGTTCCAGTGGTGTTCCAAAGATATTTGTGTATTATTGTTCAACCAACATTGATGTCCCTTCTGTTACATTTTGAGTTGGTGTCGAGAAGCAGGTGGTGCCCAAGTGCAGTACTTCAGAAAGTTTATTCATAGCTAAAAAAAAAAGGATTCAAGAATCAGACAGGAACAAACAGGAATACAAAGGAGTAAAACACTGAGCATAAACATGATGCATGAACAAGAACTAACCACAACATGTCATGGACATCGACAAGGACTGAGTGAGAGAGATAGGAATGTACTGTATATCCCAGGGCACCAGGTGACACCAGTGAGACTAATCAACAAGGGATCACAGGACACGGGTGAGTGTGATGACACTGAGTAACTCAACACAGGCAGGAGGTAAGAGAGACAGACCTCACACTTTCTCTGCAAAACAAAACAAAAACACAGACAATTTAGTTGATTTCACAGAGTCATCTGTTTTTCTGCAGCCAAATTAAACTTTAGCATTTGTGATGCTAATTGTAAAACCAGCACTGAGGGGGGTGGAGGCAGGGAGGGGTGGCCTACAAATGGTGAATTGCATTCAACAACATATTCACTCATACCAAAACATGATTTTTAATTAGTAGTACATGAATTCTTTATTAGTTTGTTACATTTAGCAGCTTTACTCAGCACTACTACTGCGATTCCTGTTGCTGTAAAAACAAACTAAGTACAACAACAATAAAACACACCAGAGGAGGTGTGTTTGTCTTGTCACGG